ATGCTCCCCTCCGCCCCTGACCCCCAGCCACTCTGTCATTTTTACTTGAAGGCTTTGTACTGTTCTAAGGCTCTACTGAAAAGTCTTCGCCAACAGCCTAAGTCTCTGTAGTGAGATGTCTTAAGAAAATACGTCTTTAAACAGCTGACCTGAATATCGGGGAACTCTTGCTCCCCAGACTGATAGCTGGGATACCAGCATGGGACTGATCCAGACCCCAGGAACATGGGTTTCAGTGAGGAAACCCCTGGAAATCCACGGGACCTCCTGTAGTAGTTCAGCATTTATCCCTAGCATAGGTGTGGACTTTGGGAGTTCATTCCACATAGAGGAATACTCCCTGAACCAAGACACACAGGGGTGGGCCTAGACCCTATCCTAAAGGATACGATAGACTCCGATGACCCCCTATGGAAGGCCTCACCATCCAGGGGGAGCAGGGGAAAAATACATCTTTGTCTGTGAATGAAAGAAATGAAATTAAAGGAGGAGGACATGACCACTCCTAAAGTATGGAGAAGATTTTTATTGTAGATGTAAGGGAGAAAGCAGGCAGAGGGAGGGAAGAGGCCAGGCTAAACATGGAGGGGAAAGATGAAGAAGGAGGGAGAGGAGCCCTGGTACAAGAGAGCAGTGGAGGGAGAGGGTTAGGGTAGGCTGTGCGGTGCGGGCTGAGAAGTTCTGGGAGGAGCAGCAGGTACTGAGATTTGTCCTGTTTGATACCCAACAGTCTCTGGTGTGTGAATTTGAGTGCTGGTACCTTCAGAGCCAGAAAAGGTGTGTCCACAGGTCTCATCCTGGGAGCTGAACTCGGGTCCCCTGTAAGAGCCGTGCAAGCTCCCAATTCCCCTGTAAGAGCCGTGCACGCTCCCAAACACTGAGTTGTGTCTTCTGCCCCTGTGATACCCTTCTGAAAACAAAAAAAATTATTTAACTTTATGTGCATTGGTGTGAGGGCATCAAATCCCCTGGAACTGGAGTTATAGACAGTTGTGAGCCTCCATGTGGGTGCTGGGAATTGAACTCAGGACCTCTGGAAGCCTTGTGTCCTGTTATAAAACTTACAGTTATGTGCTTGTGCGTGTTAGGACTGTGGGTGCGTTTTCCATGTGCACATGTAGAGGTCAGAGCAGAACTTGAGAGAGTTGGGTTTCCATCATGTAGGTCCAGAGGATTGGGTGCAGACCATCAGTCCAGGAGAGAAAAGCCTTCACCCGCTGAGTCCTCTCGCTGGCCCTATAATAATTTTCTTATCTGATTCTTATGTTTTTGTTTATCTGACACTGCCGCCCTTTGATGTAGCCATTACTAGGTGTATCCTCTAAAAAATCGCACTTTTTCTAGTTGTTTTACCCAGGCTTGTTTATTTTTAAAGTAGCTTCTCTCTCTTTGGGTTGGACTGTGTCTTCTTTTCAGATTTATTTCATGTATATGGGTGTTTGGCTTGGCACGGTATTTGTCCCTGTGCCTATGGAGGCCAGAGGATGGTGTCAGATCCGATAGAACTGAAGTTGCAAATGGTTTAAAGCCCCCATATGGGTGTTGGGGATTGAACTTGGGTCCTCTGGAGGAGCAGCCAGTTCTCTTAACTACTGAGCCATGGCTCCAGCCCCTGCAATAATTTATTTTTTTATTTTTTTAAATTTATTTATTCTAGCTAGGGAACAAGCTTGTTTCACATGTAAGTCCCTTCTTCTCCCTCTCCCTCTCCCTCCCCTCACCCCCTCCCTGCAATAATTTAAAAAACAGTTTTACTTAGATCAAATCCTTTCTATCACGTTCTCTCTGATTGTCCCACCATGATCAAGTCTGCCTTTGAGCTTGATTTACATAAAAGTTGTATGCAACATAGTTTATGCTGTTTTGTAGTTTTAATCCTTGTGTGTTTTCTGTGATTTTGAATACTCTGCTTCTTTTGATTTAGATAAGTGTAGGTGGAAGTTTCTGTTCTGCAAGCCACTCCTAAATAACCACACAGAGACTTAATATTAATTATCAATGGTTGACCAATAGCTCAGGCTTGTTACTAGCTAACGGTTGCGTTTTCAGTCACCCCATGTTTTTATCTACACTTTGCCATGTGACTTGGTTCCTTTTCCCAGGCCGTACAGCATGTCCGTCTTGGTTCTGCTCAGTGCTCCTGACTCCACCCTTCTTCTTCCCAGCATTCTCTGTTTGGCTCCCTCCCAACCTCGTCCTGTCCAGCTATTGGCCAGTCAGCTTCTGTTAAACCCATCACAGCAACAGACATTCATACAGTGCAAAGGGATATTCTGCAGACAAGATACTTTATATGCCAGTGTATGTAGTATATCTTTAAAAACCAACAACTGTAATGTCATTGTTTGATTCTAAGTTTTCTGAAAAACAGGTATAAATACAGCTTATTGATCTCTGAAAGATTTGAAATGTCAGTTCAGAAATACTATGAATTGTTAATGATACTGATTGAATGTATGCTGCTTGTATAAATAATTTTTTTTCTCAAGAACAACATGAAAGAAAAATATCCCACTTGGCTTCATTGAAATCTACATCATTTTGAAGTTGAGCATTAATACTGAATAAAAAATCCTTTAGAACTGTTGCATTTAAAAGATTTTTGTTAAAGGAAAAACCTCCATTTGTTTCTAATATTAAGTAGTAAATGTCTTGCCAAAATGAAGCGTTGTTTTTGTTGGGAATCACTGAAAACACTTGGGCCTCCTCTGGCTTGTAATCCTGTTAAGTTTTCAACCATGCAGTGAAAACTAATTATACACAGTTGCCGAGCTATAGCTGCAGACGATTCAATGTAAATAGAAGTTAAATTCATTTATTGAAACATGAAATGTTGAGAATACTTTATATTAGGATTAAGAAAAAAATTTTCTTTGCAAATGGACTAAACACCACTGTCTCTTTCTTCAGCCCCTATGTGGTGAAGTACTATGGCAGTTACTTCAAGAACACAGACCTCTGGATTGTCATGGAGTACTGCGGCGCTGGCTCCGTGTCAGACATCATTAGGTTACGAAACAAGACAGTAAGTATTCAAAATTGATTCCTTAATCCCTTTTTAAAGTTCCACTTTAGAGTCTAGTATTTTATTACAAAGAGACCGTGAGTGTGAAGACGGAGGTTACAATAGCCTTGCGTCTTTCTAAGGCAGCTTGAGTCACCAGATGGCTCTCAGGTGCCAGGGAACCACCCTCCACGAGTCAGTACACACTTAGTAACCAAGGTCACTACGTGAGGGCTGCAATTCTATTTACACGTCGTGACATTCATTACATCTCCTCATCTTAATTTTTCTGTATTACCACTTATTGCTGGTAAATAGTTGAAGTTACATTTCTGAATTTTTGAAAATAATTGAAATCATTTTTGTTTCTCAAATGTCCAATAGATGTGTGAAAATGAAAGTGTTAGATTTTACATACATGTGAAGTGAAGTATATTACTTAATAAAGCTTTTATGGCTTTGTTGTGACCTAACACAAATGGCAAAGAAGAATTATCAGTGAAATGGTTTGTAATCCTGTAGAACAGTAATTCAGTCTCTACTCGACGTTACTATATGCTGTCAAACATGTCTTGGTAAAATAAATTTAGAAAAAGTGCATAACTATTTGAATCAATTTGTGGTTAACCAGAGTCATTTTAAAGTTTTGATTGGTGGAACGCTTGGACGTTTATTCTCATTTTTTTTTCCCTGTGGAGAAAAATAAAGAAAATAGGATTTCTTTAAAAGGAAGTGGAACAGAAGTTTAAATAATCCCTGTTTTGACAGAGGATTAAATAATTTGTGACATTTTAAGTAAGTATCTTAGAGTTTCTATTGTTCTTAACCAGTGTTTATGTGGATCAGATGGTTCTTGAATGGCAGAACAATTGAAAATAATCACACCCAAGTTACAGGAATGTCATAAAAATCATTCCAGGGCTAGCCTCACTCCAGGAGTGTCATAAAATCATTCCAGGGCTAGCCTCACTCCACGTGGTATTTAAAATGATCAAATAAGACATGGAGTACAAGCATATGACAGAATTTTAAACATCTATTTTCATGGTTTTAAAATATTAATGTTACCATTTTGAGTACAGAGTAGGCAGTTGATTCAAGAAGTTTCTTTCTTGTACCATTATTATGAACTGTGAAAGTACAGTTGTTTTTTGTTTTTTGTTTTTTTTGTTTTTTGAGACAGGGTTTTTCTGTGTAACAGCCCTGGCTGTCCTGGAACTCACTTTTTGGATCAGGCTGGTCTCGAACTCACAGATTCCTGCCTGCTTCTGCCTCCCAAGTGCTGGGATTAAAGGCGTGTGCCACCACTGCCTGGCTAAAAAAGTCCATACCTTGTATTTTGGGTCTGGTGTTAGTGTAGGTTTCATAGAGACTGGTTTATTCAGTTGGCCTTGTCATGTATATTTGTCTGCAATGTCCTTGACATGGCTTTTCCTATGTTTATAGTCATGAGAATGAATTCACGTCTGCAGGTGGACATAAAACTTCATTACAGCTCTGACCTTTGTAAAGCTGGAGACTAACCTGAAAACTAAAATTCAGTGCATGACCACTGAATTTCCTACTTGTGTAATTATCTCAGAAGTGTGAATAAAAACAGCGAGGTGTGTGGAGAAGCAGGTCGAGACGGTGTTCACACGAGTCAGCTTTGGTGTGTTCTGATTTACCCTGACATTTACAGGGCTGTTCATGTGCTGTAGACTGCAGCCATTTCAGTAGCAATCTTCCTCAGAGGAGTAGGGAGGTCAGCTCGTTGTCTGGCTTCATGTATGTCAAGTCTGCTATAAAGAAGAAACATATAAATATGTAACAGTAATAATTAATAGAAGACGAGGTCATGAATGTGAGAATTTGAGAGGGAGCGGGGGAGGGTGGCATGGGAGGGGAGCGGGCTGGGTGCAAATGATAAAAACGCAGTATTCCTGTAGGAGGTTCTCAAAGCAGTACTTTTTGCTTTAAATGGAAGAAAATACAACTAAGCGATTGTTTAGCAAGTTGACAATAGAGCTTGTGGTGGTGTTGTTGCTTATTTACACAGCAGTGACTTTTGAGGTCCAATGTGTTTCCTGGCATTGTGCTTGTTTTTGGAATTGAAATTATTGTTTTAAAATCTTGATCATGTCTTCTTTGAGAATTTAAAAATAAAGCACAAGAAAAAGCAACCTGACTTGAGTTACTTGCCTTGTAAAGAAACGTTTAAGTTCATGTTCCTCTGGCCTGTAGGTCACACAAGCAAGTGTTTGTGTCTTGACCCTCTCCTGTTTTACAGTTTGCCCATCTGCTCTATCATAGGCTGTAGCCTACTGCTGTGTAAATAAGAACGGGTTGGTAGGGTGGAGAACAAACTCATCTTTAGCCATTTGGTGTCTCCTGTTACCTTGTCTTCTCAGTTTCCTGACTTGGTGAATTTGCATAATTACTCTATTTCTCTTTTCATGTTCTTACAGTTTTACCATGTGTAGGAAGCTGAGGCAGGAGAATTCTGAGTTTGAGGTCAGGCTGAGCTACATATCAGGCCCTGAGACAGCCAATCCACCAACCAACAACAGAATATTATGTCTTATTTGAAATTAATCTTTATTCCCTAAGCAATTTGTGTCTATATAGTAATCCCTAGATTAATTGGATTAAATCTTCTGTTACAGTGGTTCTCAACCTTCCTAATGCTGTGACCTTTCATACAGGTCCTCAGGTTGTGGTGACCTCCAACCATAAAATTGTTTTCATTATTACTCCATAACTGTGGTTTTGCTATTGTTATGAATAGTAATGTAAATATCTGATGCGTGACCCCCCAAAGGAGTTGCACCCCACAGATTGAGAACTGCTGTTATTAGCATAGTTGCTCTGGAAGGAACACAGTGAATGACAAGTGCTATTACAGTTGTAACTGTTTTTTTTTTCTTTTTAAAGATTTATTTATTTATTCTGTATATAGTGTTTTCCCTGCATGAGTGCCTGCACTGCATACCAGAAGAGGGCACTGGAACACATTGCAGATGGTCCTGAGCCACCATGTGGTTGCTGGGAATTGAACTCGGGGCCTCAGAAGAATCTAGGAGCCATTGCTCCAGCCCCACAGTTTTAACAGCCATGTTGCCTATTTTGATTAATAGGCCAGAGGAGTCATCTAATTTAGAATTCTTTCTGCCATCCTATGTCTTCTTTGTTTCTCTTGGCCATTTTGATCAATTTGCACGACATGTCTGACAGTTTGTGTCAAATACCTTTTTAAAAAGTTATGAGTTATCTCATTGTTAGCATAAATATTAACAAGAATCTTCACAACTTGCTGCACTTTTTCTTTGGGAAACCTACAAGAAAAGATGAACGCATAGGCTGAAGCTTGGTGGTAATTAGGTATGACCCTGTGAGTTGTAAAGGGTGGTAACGATCAGTTTAAGTGTTGATACCCGACACAGTGCAGACCAGATCCTCAGATGGTGTAGTGAGTGGTGACTGTGGAAGTTAGTGGTAGTAAAAACTACAGCTTGGATGACAGTGGCACTCCTGTGTATCAGTGCGTGATGCATTTTGTCTGATTCTTGTAGCATTGCTGAAGTCACTGGTCAGCAGTCTTGAATCCTTTAGTTTGTAGCTACTCGTGTGTGTGTGTGTGTGTGTGTGTGTGTGTGTGTGTGTGTGTGTGTATGGCTTAAATTCCAGAATTTTGAGGTTGTATTCACAAACACATCACAGAATTTTTGGTATCATACATATTAAGTTTGGTGATCCTTTTCTTCAGTTGGAACAGCTAATGGATTTTTAAAAATATTTTCCTCAGCATTTTCATGCTATCTATCTTTAAGTTTTGGTGACCCTTCTATTTAGTTAGCCAATTTTGTCATATACTTGGAAATCACATTAATCTCTTTTCATTTTTTTGGAGAAGAGTAGTTATGGTTGCTTTCCCCAGGAATTTTAATATATTTTTCTAGGAAATACTCAAAGTCCCTAGAAGAGCTACTCACATTTAGCAAGTCTTTAATAAATGTTTGTTCAGTTGACAAGATCAATTGGCTGTTCCTCCTGTGAATATAATAGCTACCCGGGTATTTGGTGTTGTAAGGATAAGCTGTAATTTGCATGGATATTACATTTTACATAATAAAGTAAATTATTGAATAGATAGGTCTATATATCAAAGAAAGTCCACCAAAAAATGGCATGCTGATAACTTTGGTATATTTGAAACACAAGAGTGTGTTGTATTGGTTCTCTATTATGGAAGTTATGCAGTGTTTTGGGGCTTGCTTATGTTAAAAAATGTCTACCTTGATAGCTTTAATTTAAGACCTACTTTGGTTCACTAACAAGAGCTGTGTTCTGTTGTTGTTAATACAAGTTAATGTAAGCATTTTATTATTAAGTTTTCATTTAAAAAGAGTAATTTAGCATATTTATAGGATTAGTATTAGAAAGTCCCTCTTTCTAAGGAATTTTAATTCTAAGGAATTAAAAAATAACGTTATATTAATTGCCATTTAGCATCCCTAAACATTTATGCATCTTAAACATTATATATTGCTATGAAATGGAAGCTTTTTAAGATGAGTTACAGTTTGGATTAGAGGTTTTCAGAATGATCCATGTGTAATTATGAAGCTGTGCCTTGACGTGGAGTCAGTCTGTGTCTCAGAGGGCTGTCCTGTACTTGGAAAAGTCTAAGAAGTCCCCAGGTTATCCTCTCAGGGTTAGCCTCATTTCTGTTTTGGATAACCCACTATACACATACACACATAGACATACGTATACACATAGACACATACACATATGTATACATATACAGACACATACACATACATACATACACCTACACATGTACACGCAATGCATACGCGTGCACGCGCACACACACACACAGATACACACAGATACACACACACACAGAGATACACACACACACAGATACACAGATACACACACACAGATACACACACACACACAGATACACACACACAGATACACACACACACAGATACACACACACACACACACACAGATACACACGGATACACACA